ATGGCTGCCTTCTCCACCTCCGCACACTTTCTGATGAAGGTCCTGGGTTTGGTGCTTGCATCTCCAAGATGCTCTCCTCCAATCTCAGGCCTTACACATCTTATGTTCTCTGGACTCCCAAGTTTAAATTTCCAGCTTCAACTTCTCCCCTAAACCCCAGACACTGCACAAGGATGGATGCTACACACTCACAACAGACCCCTTAAATTGAACATGTCCCACACGGGACTCCCGATTGCCAGCTGTCCTCCTTCTGCCCCACCACACCAAAACTCAGGGCTCCTGCCCCACCCTCAGCTGTCCCTGTCTTCATCCTTCCAGTTGTTCAAGCCAAAAGCTCTGAGTCATCTTCCACTCCTCTTTTTCTCTCCTCCTTCGACCAATCCACCAAGAAATCCCATCCGCTCTATCTCCATCCAAAAATTTCTGGGACCAACGGCTTCTCACTACCACCTGTGCCCCCGTGGACTGGCCACCACCGCGTCTCTTGCCTGGGCAACTGTAGTAGCCACACAGGGGTGCTTCTGCCCATGCCTTAGCTTTGCTTCAGTCTGTTCTCAACAGAGCAGGAGTGTCCTTTTAAAAGGTGTCAGTCACACCACGTCTCTGTTCAAACCCTCTGATGTGTCCCCATTGGATTCAGAAGAAAGCCCCAAGTCGTCAAAGCTACCTGCCAGGCTCTGCCAGCCCGGGCACTCCATGCCTCTCTGCTTCACTCCTGCTTCATGCTCCCCAGTCTCTGGGACCCTCGCAGTTCCTGGACAAGCCAGGCGCACTCCTGCCTTGGTTTTCGTGCTGGCTGTTTCCTCTGCCTGCTATTCCTTCCTCCCTGCCATCGGCAACGCCACTGCCCGCTATCTTCCATTCTCCTCTGGTGGATCCATCAGGCTTCCCCGACGACTGTGCTTGAAGTCCAGAGGCCTGAGTGGCGTGAATGGAGATGGATCTAACCACCCAGACTGGGGCTCATCAGAGTCTCCATGTCAGCACATCTGAAACCATCCTCTTTCCGTCATTTTGTCAACAAATATTTGTGGAACAGCAACTCTGCCAGGTACTGAGCAAGACCCTGGGGGCACCCAGCCCTGGCCACCTGGGGGGCTCATGTGTAGCAGGAAGCGGGGAGAAGTCAGGGCGCAGTGCGAGGTAGCAGGTCAATGCATGGCCTGGAGACAGACAGTTTTGCTAGTGCATAGCTGGGAGGGGTTGAATGGTGCCCCCCAATAAGACGTGTCCAAGTCCTAACCCCCAGAATCTGTAAATGTGACCTTGTTTGGAAAAAGGATCTTTTCAGGTAGTTAAGGAGATTGTCCTGAAATATCCAGGTGGGTTCTCAATCCAGTATACCTCTTTATGAGAGACAGAGGAGGAAATGACACAGGGAGACAATTAGAAACAGCCACATGAAGATGGTGACAGAACCTGGAGTTCTACAGCCACAACCCAAGGAGAACCAACCCTCCTTCAGAGCCCCCAGAAGTAACCTGCCGGCAACTTGACTTTGACTTCTGACCTCCAGAACAGAGAGAATAATTTTTTATTGTTTTAAGCTGTGAAGTTTGTGGTAACGTGTGACACCAGCCCTAGGAAACAAATGCAATAATTGTGGCATTAGGGACAAGCCATTCGACTTCTAAGACTCCTTTTTTCCATCTGTAAAATGGGGATTATTGGCCGGGCGCAGTGGCTCACTCCTGTAATCCTAGCACTCTGGGAGGCTGAGGTGGGAGGATCGCTTGAGCTCAGGAGTTTGAGACCAGCCTGAGCAAGAGGGAGACCACATGTCTACCAAAAATAGAAAAATTAGCCAGGCGTGGTGGTGTGCATCTATAGTCCCAGCTACTCGGGAGGCTGAGACAGGAGGATCGCTTGAGCCCAGGAGTTTCAAGTTGCTGTGAGCTGTGATGATTCCACTGCACTCTACTTAGGGCGACAGGGCGAGACTGTGCCTCAAAATAAATAAATAAATAAATAAAATAAAAAAAAAATAAATAAATAAAATGGAGACTATCGTACCAACACCCTATGCCATACAGCAATTGTAGGGATAAACTGTGAAATATGTCTTACACAATCAGGTGTATGTATTTTAGTGTTTGTAAGATATTTTTTCAAAATAATAATGCTTATCATTGTTTTTAATGATTACTAAAATAATACGTAAAATAATGAGAAATCACTTAAAAAGAAAAATAATCTGAATTTCACAGCTCCCAAAATAGCCACTATTCTGTTTTGAATTATTACACATCTTTTCTTTCATATTTGATATCTATGTTTAATTTCTGGATTTAAATCATAGGTCCATGCTCGCCTCAGCCATCTGACCTTGGCTTAGCTTCTTGGTGCCTCCGTCTACCTTGCTGCGGGGATGGTGGCACCCTTATTTGTGAGCATTGTTGTGAAGATAAAAGGGGTGATCCATGAAAAACACCTGCAAAACCAGGGTGCGGCCCACTCTCTGTAAATGGGGAGAGGACCAGTGGGGTTGCTGGGGTCCACATATCCCATGAAGTGTCAGCACAGAGCGGGGCGTGCAGAAAGCTCTCAAACGTGGGCATGCTGTTACTGACCCTTCTGCACGCCAACACTGAGTCCAGTGACGTGGAGCTTCTCCCAGCTTCTGCAAAATGTCCTTCTCCCTCAGCCTGGGGGTTTTGTACAGGCTGCCCCTTTCCTCTTCCCTGCCTGCTGGTTCCACTTTGCCCTCCCACTCAGCTCAAGCACCCTCCCTCGGGATGCCGCCTTTGACGCTGAGTGTGGTTTAGGTGCTGCCACTCTGCCCTCAGAGGCTGGGCTCACCCCTACTGCTACCCCCATCAAAGCCATTCCACACCCTGCCAAACTAAACTAAGCTTCAAACTCCATGAAAGCCGAGCCTGTCTTACACACCTCTGTGGCCCCAGCGCCTAGCTCAGGGCCTGGCCCTGAATAAGTGTTCAGAAAATGCCTGTTGAACTAAGGCAAAAAGGGAAGGAACAGACGTTCATGACTCACAGCTCTCAGGGCTGCTGCAGATGCCTCCTCTGCTCCCAAGCCCCCTGGGATGCTCCTGCCACACGTCACAGTCATAGTCTTTGTTGGCATGTGTGCCTTGTAAGTGCATATATATATGGGCTACATCTCATATATATATCATAGATCCTATCTCATATATATATATATTAGCTATTTTTGTGATACTGCTGCAAAACAAACAACCCCCTAAATCTCAGTGGCTTAGAAGAGCACGTGTTTTTCTTGCTTGCAGGCCTGCAGCTGCTCCTCTCATTCTGAGAACAGAGGCTACCCAGGGCCAGCTCTGTTCAGGGGACAGGAGAAGCAAGAAGGAGATGAAACGATGTCTCTTAAGGCCTCACTCAGTACTGGTGCACTGTTAACTTCTTCCCACATACCACGGAAAGGACAGGGAGAGAAGGAAGAATTGTCAGCAAACAGTAAATTTACATAACAGCTTGTCGCGGAGGATCACAGCTAACCCGTATGTTGGTTGTGTCTACTATGATCCGGGCACCAACACCAATTCATTTATTCCTCATAACAACTTAGAGAGAGAAGGTACTATTATTAGGACGTGAGGCCAGGATGGGCCCAGAGCCCGTGCCTGTCCACCTTTGTCCTGCCCCTGACGCAGGGGCTGTGTAGACTGGGACCCGATCGATGCTTGCAGGCACAATGAAATGCAAGTAATATTTACTGATCATTTATTACACGCCAGACAGTGTTGTCTGCTTTTATAAATATTACCCGATACAGTCCTCACAGCAAGCCTGGAGAGTTCATACCAACCGCCCCATTCCACAGGTGAGAGCTCCAAGGTAGCACACACAGCCAGCAATGGTAGAGCCAGCTCTGGAAATTAGGTAGTTTGGGCCATAAGCATTAGTTGTGCCATGCTGGATGGGCCTGGCTCCAGTCTTCTCAGCTGTTTCCCACCGCCTCTGGGAGGCGTGTGTGTGTGTTAGACAGAGATCCCCTACCCCCTCCCCAAGAGGAAGAAAGAGGAAGGGAGAGAGAGACCGAGAGAAAGAGACCGCGCAGGGGACGGGTGTGGGCCAGATAGGACGCGGAGACTTAAGAACTGCCGCTTGCCACCGAAGCGCAGGCAGAGGTTCCAGGCGCCCAGCAGATGGCAGGATGTGGCCACAGATTCCCCGCAGCCCGGCGAGTGGGGCGGCAGAGCTGCGCGGCTCGGCGCCGCCCGTCCCTGGGGAAGCGCGCGGAGTCCGGGCTCGCCTCACTCCCGGGTGAGTGCTCGACACTGCACCCCTGGCGCGTATCGCCCACTCGGCTGCCCAGCTCCCCGCGGGATCCAGGGACCGACCGACGGGCGGACCTCGCCCCTAAAGCGGACGCTGGTGCCGCACAGTTTGGGGGAATCCCGAGTCCCCTGCCCCGCCGTTCCCAGGGAGAACGGTTTTGGGCAAACCATTGCTCTCTTGGGCCTCAGTTTCTCCAAGTACAATGAAGGGGTCAGATTAGGCCCTAAAGGGTTGACTTCCGTTCATCGAACATTTAGAAAAACACTAGGAGGAAAAGCCTCGGTTGGAGAACCGGCAGACACCCCACTGCCCCGTCCCCGTCTGAACAGGCAAACAGGGCCCAAGGCGCGTCCCGGGCTCCCTTCGCAGCCAGGGCCGACTGACGAAGGACCGAAGGGCTCCTGCCCTTGGGGACCTCAGTATACCGCCTTCTGAGACGGGGACGATGATTTCCAACTGTTGGGGGTGGGGGGTTGGGAGGCTGCTCCTTAGGCGCTGAGCCCCGCGCCCGCAGCAGGTGCTCACAACCCGCCCACTACCCGGGCCGTCCCCGCCGAGCTACGCGGGGGTCGCGGCTTCTCGGGGCGGGTCCCTCGCTCAGCGCAGAGCCTGTGGCCGAGTGGTGGCCCACGGTCCTCCCCGCCCCCGCTCGGCCGCCCCCTCGTGCGGCCCTCGCCCGCCCCTTCCCCCCTTCCTCCTCCTCCCGCCCCGCCTCCCGCTCCCGCCCGCTGCAGCCTGCGAGGCGCGCCGCACGCTGGCCCCGGCGCGCGGAGCTCTGGGTTCCCGGGCGGGCACCGGCTCGAGGCGCGGCGGCCGGGCGAGCGCAGCCGGGGGTCGCCCGGGAGGAGGGGAGCCGTCCCCGTCCCGCTCGGCGCGGCTATAGCCCGGGCTGGGGGCGCTCCCCGCACCCGCGCCCGCGTCCGGCGGCCGGGCATGTAGCAGCAGCCGCGGTGGAATATGGGCGGGAACCACTCCCACAAGCTCCCCGCGTTTGACGAGAATGAGGAAGGTAAGGGGCGAGGGCCGGGCACCCCTCCTTCCACTGTCCTCTGCCGAGCGCCTGCTGTGTGTTGCATGCTGCCACCCGCGGGGACCCAGGCACAGCCGCGTAGCCGGGCTCCCGCGGAGTCCCGACCCCGTGCCAAGCGCGGGGCTTTTACCGCGGCAACTGCCCTGTGTCGGGTGCCCTTTAGGGGGCGGGGCGGATTCCGAGAGCAGAGGTGAACCCAGAGCCTTCACTGGGGGTGTGAAAGGAGGAACAAGGAGGTGGCCTGGGTGGACGGATTGCAGAGTGTGTGTGTGTGTGTGTGTCTCCACGACGCATTTAGGGTGGTGTCAGGCAGGTTGGGTGCGTCTCTTCTTACCCAGGACGGCGGCCTAGGGAAACTTTTCCTGGCTAAACTCCACGGCACTGAGGAGAGCAGGGCGCACTGCTAGTGGCAGCCTCCCTGGCGGAGGAGTGGCGTAGGCTGTGCAGCCTCACCTAAAATCCAGGGCTGGAGGTCCTTGCTGCTCAGGTCGGTAAAGCTCAGTATTTGGACTAGCAGAACCCTATTTCCAGAGCTGTGTGTCAGTGGGCAACTTTCCGAAACCTTAGTTCCCTTTCCCATGAGATGAGAATTACGATACCACTATTACCTTATGGGGTTGTTTGAAGCTTAACCACTAGGAATCCATGTGGAAAGTGCCTTATACATAGAAGCTGTGCAGAGCTGTACGAATATTGTGGGTAATCTGTTACCTGCCTCTAAAAGCTGGTTTCCAGTGGGCTAACTCTCCAGTCTCCACCGTGCCCCAAATAAGAGCTAAGACATTCAGAGCACTGACTATGTTCCAGTCACTGTGCTATGTGTTCGTTCAATCCTCTTAGCACCCAATGAGGTAGGTCCTTTTGTTCCCATTTTATAGCTGAAGAACGAGACCTGTCCTAGTCACAGCTAGTAAGAAGCAGAGCTGGCCTTGAGGCTGGACAGTCTGCCTTGCAAGCTACCATCGTCACCCAGGGCGTAGGCCTGTGTGCACAGATCCTGGTTTCTAGAACTCCCAAGGCTATGGGTGCTATTCAGATGCCGCCCGGACAGCCCTTCTCGAAAGGATAGATGAAAACAGTGAATGTAATCAAGTGGGCACCTGCTGTGTCAGGCTCACACCATCCTTTGTTAAAGGAGTTCCTACTCCAGTGGCACTGAATGGCCATCCTTGATCAGCGCTGTGAGGGCCAGTGCAGGGCTCTGGGGGGACTGGGGGCCCAGCTCTTCCTGGTCTTTAGTATGGAGCACAGGCAGGTGAGGACTCAGCTTGAACAGAGAAGAGGTAGGCAGGGAAGTTTAACAGGCTTTTGTGTGTCCCAGTAATAGTTTGAACACCATGTAGCATCACTCCCAATTTTAGGAGTTTATGATTCCAGCCTGGGTCAAAGGTCATGCTTTTGGTAATTTTCTTAGCATCTTTCCCTTTTATTGGCAGAGGAAATCCATCACCCTTATACTGACAACTGTTTCTATCCTTTACCACAGAAAATGTACTTTAAAATATTTATTGGCAAAATAGTTATCTCATTCCGAAAGCAGATTGGGCCTAGGGTTAACTGCCCGTTTCGGTGCTTGTTGAAATGCAAGGTTAAGGCTTTCCTCATGTTGCCGGCTTGCAGCCCAGTGACACATTAACTTGTTTGATTTTGCCAGCACATTTCTCATTTCCTAATGCAGGTAAAACAATGCTATTTGCCACCAACAGATTCATTTATTTCATAGGTGTTTATGGATCATATTTTCTGTGCCCACCCTGTGCTGGGCACCAGGAATATGGGGAAGGTGAAGGCAAAGCTCCCTGAAGGAGCTCCAGGGCACACACAGCACCTGGACAGTGCAGGATGTTTAAGGGCCTTGATGTGGGTGAGTTCAGGGGACTGGGGTATCCCAGAGAAGGACCCCTAACCCTGGGAGCAGGGAGGAGAGATCTGAGAAGACTCCCTTTTCGACTTGAATTTTGCAGAAATGGCAGGAGAAGAAGTGGTGGGTTGGGGGTGGGGGGAGACATTTGAGAGGGAGGGAAGAGAATGTGCAAAGGCAGATTGTGAAGAGTAAGCATGGGTCATTTAGGGGGACTAAGGAACTTAGTACTCCTATTAATATATGTGAGTTATGAGGCTGCAAGGCGAAAGAGATGAACCCTGAATGCCAGGCTGGTCTTAAAGGCCCAGTGGCGTAAGGTGCTTGCACTTGATCTTACATGCATTCTGGAGTCACTGAAGGATTTTAAGCAGGGAGTGATATGGTCCAGTGAACAAACATGGTTTTCCAAACCACAGTTGTCAGGTGGTAGAAGATGCAAACACCTACCTGACCAGAATAAGTCTGATTTCTAAGTACTTTAATGCTAAACTACAGCTTAAAATTTGCCATTGCATAATTGTGCCATGACCATCCACATTCTTAGGGCAAAAGTTTAACTTATTGTGTGCAGGTGGTCGTAGCTGTTCATGCTAGTCAAGTGAGAACCATGTCACAGGTTAATTGGCAGCATTTCTTTCTTCTTCGTGGTACCTAAAATAATGGTGTTTTTACTGTGGATGGGATCTGAGATTAGGTGCAATAGGGCATCTTAGCGGAGCCTCCTCCGGCTGCAAATGAAGGAAAAGCAACAGGAAATGCTTTAAGGGAATCAGTCGGCTCTGGCCATTTCTCACCTTCTCCGTCACTACCACCTGGTACAAGCAAAGCGGTGGTCACAACTCTCACTTAGATTATTACAACAGCCTCTTTAACTGGTCTCTTTACTCTATCTGCCCTTACCCCACTTCCCGGTCACCTTAGGGCAGCAGCCAAAGTGATCCTGTTAAAATGTGCGAAGGGCCATGTCAGTCCTCTGCTCAGTCCACCACCCCACCCCTCCCTCCAGCTGCAGGTGCAACTCGCATCCTTGAGAGACTCAAAGCTGAAGTCCTTACAGATGCCTGTCAGGCCCTACCCTCTGGGACCACACATCCCTCCTTTACTCCCAGCCCACTTGCCTCCCTCCACTTCTCAGACACGCCTGGCACCCTCACACCTTACCCCTGGCAGTTGCTCCTCTAGCCTGAGGGCATCTCCCCCATGGCCCATCCTCACCTCCTTCAGGTCTCCATGAAAATGTCACTGTCTCATGAGATGGTCACTGACCATCCAGCTTAAAATGTCACTCCCAACCCCCTTCCTTGCTTCATTTTTCTTCATGGCAATTATCACTAACATACTATTAATTTTACTTATTTTCTTAGTTACGTCTTCTATTCAGTTGAAAGCATCTTAAAAGCAGGGATTTTATATGATTGTTTGTCTCCTCCTAAGGTGTTACAGGCTCCTTAAAAGCAGGAATTTTGCATGACTTATTCACTTCTGTATCCTCAAGGCCTAAAACAACACCTGGAGCATAATAGATGCCTGATAAATTTTGAGTGAATGAATGAATAAATGAATGAATGAATGTGTCAACCTCATCAGGTGCAGCTGGAAAGAGGTTCCCAAATAATATTGGGAATCTTCCTCTTGGATTCTCTGCTATCCTCTGTGTGACCTTCTCGGGCAGATTCTTTCCTCGTGGGGCTCCCACCACCTCCATGTTCACAGCCTCTCAACTCTAGTCTGGAAAAGAGAGGATCTTCTCAACCTAGTTGCAAATAAGGTGCCAGCTGGAGCTATTCTGATTAATTCTGACTGAGTCTTGGGTTGTTCTTGGGCCCACGAAGGTGAGCAGGGAGAGAAAAGGCTATAATTGGCCAGGCCGGATCACATGACCACCCTTGGATTCAGGGGGTGGAGCCAGCTCCAGGTGAGGCATTTGGACTGAGGGTGTATGTGAAGAGTCTTCCCCGGCGATATTGGAGTACCAACAGAAGAAGGACAGTGGATGCTGGACAGGTAGGTGAAAACAAACAAAAACCATCCACTCCAGCACCCATTATCACTGTGTCCTTGGAACACAGGTTTGGACACTTACCTCATTTGACTGATTCCATGTCCATCTGCACTGGACTATGGAGTCCCAAAGAGCAGCAGTCACTGTTTCATGTATCTACACATGAGGACAAATAGCAGCTCTTTGCTGAATGAAAGATGAAAGCAATCACTTATTGGGGGCCAATTTCTTGCATTCCTCTGGATTCTGAAGTTATTAAGAAAAAAACACAGGAATTTCAGATTTATTTCCAGTAAAGTTGGTTTGGAGACCATTCCTTAGACTTGAGATCAGAATGGCCTTCCTGCTCCTGTCCCTTGAGACTTGCTTGGGCAGAGAATTAGATCTGCAGAATGGACCCGGCGCTGCCAACAGCTTGGTCACTCCCAATCGTGGTGCACAGATAACTCATGAGAAATACCTAAAAAGAGACAGGATATATGTAAACGACAACCCGTAATGATTCATGGATATCAAACTCTTGCGTATCATGACTTTGGACAGGGGTGGGGAACTTTTTCATGTTGGAAGGCCGCATTAATTTAGCTGAAATAAGGCCACATTCAAGAAACTTCCATTAGATGTACTTAAACATGTACATTATTTTGTAAAAATCTAACTACTATGTACTTAATAATTTCAAAAAATGAAAACTATTGGTTAATTTTAAAGTTAACTAACCTTTTAATGACTTTGATGTTTCTGTTTTTCGTTGGAAAGCATTTGAATATTTGGTTGCAGCATGGAGGTCTGCAGTTTCAGTTGATCCTCTAGATGAATATCATCAGTCTTGATTTGGGTTAGGTAGGGGAATGTATAATAGATTTCCAACAATAAGTGGTTGAAAAGCAAGAAAACATTTTTCGGGCATGTTGCCAAAGGTGTGGATATTCTACTGCATTTTTCCATATTTCAATTGGATTTCACCATCAACCAATGACTTTAATATTTCCTTTACTGAGAGCTCAATCAATTCCATCTGTAGTTCTTTAGAAGCCTTGGTGACATTAACTAGATGAGGCTAAAGTGCTAATTTGAGTGTGATGACATGATTCTCCAAGTCAGTGAACCTTT